GGGCCCGGTCACTAATAAACGCACGCAGCAAAAACAAGAGGGTCCTCGCCTTTGGCGAGGACTGCTCTGTGAGCAGTCCTCTGCCTTAGGGCTCGGTCCCTAATAATACATTTAAACTACAGAATAATACAAGAAATAATACATTAAAACTACAGAATCATATAACCAAAATACACTGTACCGCTGTCAAACCAATGTATTTTTGTATTCTGTATTTAATTAGCCAATTTATACTTTAAACTGTATATGACTGTAAACTGTACGAACCTCCCACAGTTGTAAACCGGCGAAATATCCACAAAACACAAATCCACACACTCGGAACTACGTCCTGATACAGAAACTTTATGGCTAACATCGTTTCAAAAACTACGTTTAACTGCTAATATAAAGGGCTTCATACCCTTCTGACCAAGTATCGTATCAACCATTCACTTTAGCTTTTTTTATGACTTCACCAGAGTCCACAGGAGAAAGCTAACATTTTTTTTACCGTCCGTTTCCAAAGTTTGTAACCGGAAATTCCTCTCCCCGTTGTAAACAAGTACGGGGCCCCGAAGTGGACAAAAGCCATGCGCGAGAGACAACAACAGTTAACAGCCCGAACCCGACCAGACCCGAGCCAATAGAGTAAATAAACATAATTTTGCAGCCTGACATCTTCACCGGGTCGGGCTTTTCCTACTTTACTTCAGTGCTTCATCCTCTGAACACTACAAGATGGCGAGAGTAACGCACAACATGCTGTAAGAACACTACATGATGGCGAGAGTAGCACAACATGCTGTACGAACACCACAAGATGGCGAGTGCAACACACAACATGCTGTANCAGTCATGGCAAGGCGAGTGTGGAGGACCTAAGGAAGCAACTTAGGATGGAGACACTCCTAAGAAAGAGAGCAGAGAGGGCTCTTGCACAACAAAAGAGAATAAATTTGGGATTAAGAAAGAAGTACAATTTAAAAAAAGTGACTCAGCAAAGGGTGGTCACTTTGTTCCCATCCCTGGAGCTGGAAAAGGCATAGCTTTAGGAACAGCAAACCCTGCAAGAAGAAAACCTGACACACATACACAACTAAGAAAAGGAACAGCCACAAAATAATTTGCTGCTCATGTAATTTCTAGCTACCTCACTTGTGGAGTCTTTTGACAGCAGAAACTTCACAGGGCTCTTTCAGAATCACCTAAAAGACACAATTTAAAATAATTAAACTCAACGTTCCATTTAAATCAGAGGTAAATAATATCATTAATTCAGTGGTAACAGGTGTTGTGATATACTCCCCGTAGTGTTTAAACCACTGTGCAATGTTTTGGTCTTGTTCGATTAAGTTTATGAATGTAACATTCAAAGATGAGCTGAGGTTCAGGCGCCTGTCCTACATTATCTTCTTATGGAACAGTTGAGAAAACTAATAAAAGCTAACACATCCTATTGACGTTACCCTTAGCTAACACCGCCAGGTTCGGATGATAAAATCTAAATAAAACCCGTTAGTAATCAACTATATGTGATTTGTCTGTGATTCATTAATCAAACAGGAACACCACAAATGTCAGGTGCTAAACGGTGCTAAACCTCCACAGCTGGCGACGTCGAGCTAACGAGCTAGCAGGCAATGGCTGAAAACCGATCATAATTCCTGACTCAAAAAAGCCATAATTACATTGTGAACATACAAAAAAAAATCGATATCTACATAATAAAGGACCTCCGATCAGAGGTCGTGTTAACCGGATATTCTTGGTCATTGACCGTTTTTTTACAACAATGAGCGGAAAATCTGAAGGCCGTCGGTTTGACCGGTTGCAATTACCACCCCTGCCCACCTGGCGGCAGAGTGTCAGTGGTTTAAGATTGCTGCCGTTTTCACACTGCAGAGAAAAAGTCATTCATCTGCTTCATGTAGCATTGTTGACATAACGCCCTGGAAACACCGGACGTGGAACTGATGCGCAGTGCCCAGCAGCGGAGGCAGTTTTCAGTTGGCGCCCATGTTAACCTATCTGACTGTCCACACAGGCCGCTGAGCAGAGTGGAGTGCCCGCAGCAGTTTGGCGTCTGGTCTATTTTTCACGGGAGCCGTGAGCGCTTCTGTCAAGCTGGATAGAGCGGATCGTACCAAACAGGAACTCGGACACAGAAAAGACGAGAGAATCCGGCCAATTTTCATAATAAAATAACAACAACATGCACTGTAGAACGTGAGGAGAAAATACCGTGTTTATAATTAAAAAAAACAAAACAGTGCATAATTGAACACATTTTTCAATACCCTAATCACTTCATCACAATTTTAATTTTGTGTCACCGAGCCTACAGACATAACTACATAACGCCCTGGACACACTGGACACGTTAGTGATGCGTTAGTGCCGTCCGGTGTGTCTATGGCGAAGCCTAATGGCACGGGTGTGTGGATGTCTGTTCATCTTTTCGTTCATGTCCTTATTAATGCACACTTTATAACTTGCTTGTTGGATTTATTAAAAACGAATGAATGAAAACTAAATGTCTTTGAATATCTTTATTATCATTTTAAAACGAAAATTAAAATGACCAGTAAAAATAGATTATGACCGGATTTTTATGACCCTGTCGGTCAAATGACCGGTGACGAAAAAGTCTAGCGCAACATCTGCCTCCGATATAATAAACACACGTAATGACTTAAAATTGGTCGATATTTCATCACCTTACCTCAGGAGTTTCTCGTCATGCGGCCATTGAAATAAACGGGGTCCGACTCCAAGGGAGGAATGTTTGGAACTATAGAGGGCTCCATAACCCTGAAGTTCTGTCTGCCATGTTTTACAATGGAGCCCTATGGGAGTGTCGCAACTCTGTTCTTATCTATTGATCTGACTGCGTGCTCTTACTTTCACATGTGGAAATGACGTCATCAGCTGGGTGATCATGTGCTATCTAAAGATGGCCGAGTGTGATACTAGTGCATTTTTGTTCGGACCGGCGGAAAGTTTGTCTCAAAAATCAGTGTGTGTAAAAAGCAAATCCACACGCGTAGAACTGAGATCCACAAATGTTTTTTCGATTCACAAATAAAAACTGAGTTCACAAATGCCTGTTCGAAAGTTGTAAATGTTAGGAAGATATTCACAAATGCTTTTCATTTATTTGCAAATTAATTTAATGTATTCACAGATATTTTTTGTATTTGTGGAATGTGTTTTATATTTACAGATTACACATTTACACACAGATTGTCGATCTGTTCACACACATAATTATGAAACGTGTGCAGATCAAGAAATATTTGTAGATCACCCTCTTTGCATTTACAGGTATTAATGAGACAAATCTAACTCCATACAAAATATAACAAATCAGTTCAACACAACCCCAGCCCTGCTCCAGAAGAGACAAATTATTTGTTAAAGTATGTAACTAGAGTCAACATAACTGTAAATGGTGCAACTCTTTGTTGTAAATGCCCTAAATAGAATCTTTGACACCCACAAATAAAAACAAAACAATTGAAAAAACAACCCATGACGAAAAAGGTTAAGAATAACGTCATCAGTTTCCGCTCTAAGAAATTCTAAATCTAATGTCATATCTTAAAAGAAAGTCACTCAACAGGTTTCCTTACCCCGTAAACGTAAGAACCACAAAGGACAAATGATAAAGCTGTTAAAGGGGGGCCACACCCTACACTNCAACATGCTGTAAGAACACTACAAGATGGCGAGAGTAACACACAACATGCTGTAAGAACACCACAAGATGGCGAGAGCATAAGGTTAACACACAACATGCTGGAAGAAAGGTGCTGCCCCTCTCAATTTAAATATACTGTCAAATTATAATTATGGTCACTGTTTGTCTGACCATACGCTGTGTTACTGACTCTGAATCTTGCTAGTATAACGTTAGCTTTCTAGCTTATAGCTGAGCCAGACGCTCAAGTTTGTCAGCGGACTGCGGGAAAGCGGTGAGGTCTGGCGGAGGCTGCTGTGAAGCTCTTGGCCTCTCCAAGCCGACCTAGAAATGCCGCGGATATTTGAAACGTTTTTTCTCCTCCTTTCACCACTTCTATGCAGGAAAAACCCTGAATGACGTACCTTCAAGATGATTTAGCCGCTCCTGCCTCCATTTAATCTTACCACCGTCGTCCTCTTCTTCTTCTTCTTCTTCTTCTTCTTCACCTTCACTGTGTATTTTGGCGGACAACGAAGTGCACGTCACAATGCGCATGCGCGGATTCAAAACACGTACAACACTATTAAAATTTACTTGGTATTTCTAAGTTCATGTGAATGACTATGAAACCTTTGAATATTATGCGAAAATACATAATAAAACTTACTCTTCCCATACAGTTTATTTATTACATGAATGACATATATAGTTTTACTTGAATAATTCCAGTTCTCACTGATACTTACAATTAGAAAATAAAAATGTGACAGTTAACCTAATAAATATTACTACACCACAAAATCATTTTTTTCAGTGTAGGCGGGGACTTTAACACTATTTTGGATGGAAATTTGGATAAATGGCCTCCCGGTCAAACAAATAGATCCAATACTAATCTTAAAGCCTTTATGGACAGATTTAAGCTTGTAGATATATGGAAAGTGAAGTATCCTATTAATAGTTCATATACATGAAGCAATAAAACAGGGTCAAGTCAATCAAGGATAGATTTCTGGCTAATTTTGGAAAGTTTTAATAAAGATAATATTGATGTAGACATATGGTCCACTCCTCTTACAGATCATAAGGCTATATAGATTAAGCTAAAACAGTCCACCATTAAAACATGCGCCTCTCAGTCTGTATACTGGAAACTCAACAGCTCTTTATTATTTAATGTTGAAGCTAAAAAAGAAGTCAAAGAGCTGATATTATATTTCTGGTCCAAAGCTAGAAAAGAAAATCAATTTGGGATTAATTGGGAACTATTAAAATTTGAGATTGGTAAATTCTTTAGAAAATTTGGTAGTATTAAAGCGAAATACAGAAGAGCAGAAGAGGAAAAGGTAGTAACAAGAATAACCTGTTTATCTCATAAAAACCCAGACACACTATCTGAGGAGGAAACATTGGAACTAGCTAACCTGCAAATTAAACTAGATGAATTATATAGTCAAAAAGCAAAAGGTGCATTTATCAGGTCCAGAACAAGATGGCTTGAAGAAGGGGAGCAAAATTCACACTATTTTTTTAATTTAGAAAAACACCATTCTAATAATAATAACATTAGTAGACTAAACGTTAATGGGGTTATTACAGATGACCAAAGTATAATTTCCAATTACTGTAGTCACTTTTACCAAAATTTATATAACTCTAAGTTTTGCCAAGCCTCAACTGATTCCTTTTTGAACTCTCTGACAGTTAAATCTATTGAAAAATATGACATTGAGTTATGTGATAAACCCATCACACTAGAGGACATAAAGAATGCAATATCTCTTTTAAAAAACAACAAATCACCAGGCAGTGATGGACTGATCTCTGAATTTTACAAATCATTTACTAACAAACTAGCTCCTTTCTTATTTGAAGTCTTTGTAGAAAGCATAGAAAGAGAACATCTCCCAACCACTATGACTCAAGGGTTAACTACATTAATACCCAAACCCAACAAGGACACATTATTTATTGACAATTGGCGTCCGATTTGTTTGCTTAATAATGATTACAAGATATTTGCTCTGATATTGGCTAAAAGACTTAAGATGGTGTTGGATTCGATTATCGAAGAAACGCAATCAGGGTTCATGTCAAAAAGACATCTACTAAATAATATCAGACTAGTCCTGGATATCTTGGATTACCCGCAGTTGTTTGAGGATAATGGTTTTATTTTAGTTTTAGACTTCTACAAAGCCTTCGATACGGTGGAGGAGCAGTTCATTTTACAATTGTTAAAGAAACTTGGATTTGGTAATTATTTCTCTACAGCTCTCAAAACTCTTTATAAAGATGGTAATAGTTCTGTTAAATTAATGGGTGGTACATCCCCTAGATTTAATCTGTCAAGAGGAATCAGACAAGGCTGCCCCGCCTCACCATATCTCTTCCTGATTGTAGCTCAGCTTTTAGCGGACCATATTAGATCTAGTGCTGTGAAAGGTATCTCTCTTATTGATAGAGAGTTAATCATAACTCAATTGGCAGATGATACCACATTGTTCTAAAAAATGAAAACCAAATTTCTGTCGCTATTAAAGTTATTCAGGAGTTTTCAATGGCCTCTGGTCTGTCTTTAAATATTAATACGTGTGAACTCATGGCCATTAAAGAGTGCTCTAAATCTACCCTTTTCAATATCCCAATAAAAAATGAAATTCAATATTTAGGAATATTAATTACTAAGAATCAACAGAGGAGAAGTGCTTTGAATTTTAACTCTATTATACAAAAAGCTCAAAGAAAACTAAACCAATGGCTCTTGCGGGACCTCTCCCTAAGAGGCAGAATATTAATTACTAAAACAGAGGGAATCTCCCGGTTGACATATGCAGCTTTGGCTCTTCATCTTGACAATAAATTATTAAAAGAGATTGACAAAATGCTTCGATTTCGTATGGAAAAATAGGACACATCATTTGAGGAAAACAGTTCTTATGAATTCATATGAACATGGTGGACTTAATTTTTTGGATTTCTCTACATTAAATAATACATTTAAAATAAATTGGCTGAACATTTTTTCAGAAATCCTACGTCCATTTGGTATACCATACCACTCCATATATTGACTAAGCTGGGTGGCTTAAACTTTTTCCTTGTTTTTAACTATAATATTGATAAAATCCCTGTTAAAATGTCTGCCTTTCATCGCCAGGCTTTCTTATCATGGTGTCTCATCTACAAACATAATTTTTCACCTCATAACTACTTTATATGGAATAACAAGGACATCTTATTCAAACACAAATCTCTTTTTTTGAAATATTGGTTTCACAATAATATTGTATTGGTAAATCAGTTATTCAATAGGGATGGTCTTCTTTTTACTTATGAAGAGTTTATGTCAGAATATAATATCCCTGTAACACCTGCGGATTATGCCAAAGTCTTTGGTGCAATTTCCTCTAGAATCTGTATGCTGTTTAAATTTCAACCAAGGATTAATGACTCAACAGATGCCCTTGTTATCTCCAGCAGACACTGTCGTAGACAAAGTTTGTTTTTCTGGGTATTCTCCTAACAACAACAGTTCCATAAGAGCTCTGTTCCAAAGAGATATTACTACATTACCACATGTGATTTCATATTAGAATCAATTTGTGGGTGATATTACATGGAGGAAGGCCTGGCTTAGGCGTTGTAACTTTCCTCAAGTGTCCTACATGAGAGAAAGATGACAGGTTAAAAACACAGGTAGAAAACATTGACTACAGCCTGTCTTGGTTAAAAGCCCACTCACCACCAAAATGATCTTATTGCTGAGTAAGTGGCTGTCATTCATAAAATAGTTTTGTGTTTAAGTTCCGTAGATATTCGACTTTATATTTGAATGTGATTTTAAATTTAACAGTGTACTACCAAGACAAATGGAGTATGAATGTACAGTATGCAATACATCCACATTAAAATAATTGTTGCTGTCAAAAGGAAACTGAACTGTTCTCAAAGCTCACTGCCACTGTGGAATCATGCTATGTTCGGCTGTCTCATTTTGAGAATATTTTTTTCCATTGGTTCTTCACAGACTGTGTGTGGGGAAAAGGTAGTAATTCTCACTTTGATAAACGGTCTTTGCATAAAAGGCACTAAAATGTTAAAGTCGGTAAATACATGTCATGTTCCTTGATTGATAAAATCTTCATTTGGCCTTTTGCACCAGGGGAACACTAAACTATCATATTTCATATCATATTTAATTATTCTGAATAGCCGATTGTAGCCAAGTACCATAATGCAGTGATGCAAACACAGGTATGGTGAAAAAAGAGAGAGCCTCTGAACTTCTAGGGGGGTCTGGGGGCATACCCCCCCAGAAGAAAAGTTTGACTATTTTAAAGTTAAAATATATCAATCTGTTGCACTTCGGGAGCAAATTTAGGAGGCTAGATATATGAAGAACTTCGTGTTTCTGTGAACAATTTTGGCCACAGTAAGCTAAATATCTAAAATATGCATTAACCAAGCTAAAAAGGCCAGAGAATGTCATGAGCAAAAGTCCCCAGTTTGTTTAACAAAGTGACAGTGTTAAAAAACAAAAAACAAAAGCAAGATAGGCTATATGTTAATAGGTCAGTATTAATATTTTATTGTTCCAAGTTTTCTATTTCCACTCTGGTTTTAATACAGTTTCAAACAGAGAGATGCTTTATAACAACACTAAACACATATCCTAATTATGATTTTAGCTGCATTTTAATGGTGTAAACTTATCCTCAGAGTGACAGCTGACAGTGTGGATGATTTTACTCTGCAGCTCAGAATAACTTGAGACACCTGATAACTGGAAATAAGAACTAAAGAAATAACCCACATTGTTAATTAGCCCCCGTGATTATAAATATAACATTTCAATCAGATAGACCTCATCAGTCATTAACTACTTTTACACTCTTTGGTTCAGTAGCAGAAACAGTCTGGAATTATTTTAAAGTTTTATTACAGTATGTGATATTAAGAATATAGCTGATGTAAGGTGAATTACTCCTGTGTGGGATCAATAAAGTTCTTATCTTAGCCATCTGAGAAGATCAAATACATTGTTTTTGGTGCCTAACTGTTTCCCAAGTATATTAGTGTGTGTGTGAATGAATAAACGAGAGGCATTAACGTAAATTTCTTTGAAGAAAGGCGCTTTATGAAATTAAGTCCATTCACTTCTATTAGTTTACAGCGCAGCCTTGCCACATCCAATATGGCGGCGACGTTGACGTACGGCTCAGCGCTCGATGCGGCGTCAATGTATATATGTCTATGCAGCAGACGGCCAAGTCTGAGCTCAGCTCCGCACAGTGGAGCCAGCGGCTAGTTAGCATGCCAGTTAGCCACCCGTGATGGTGCCACATGTCACTCAAAGTGACAACGCCCTTAATTATGCGCAATTTCAAACCTTAATAACATTTAAACACAGTTTAAACACAGTTGTCATGAAAGGGGAAATTAACTA